CTCTCTCTGCCCCTCCCCCCTCAAAAATAAACAAACTTTGAAAAATAAAAATAAAATGAGTACGGAAATAAAATAAACAAGCTTCATATTAACCCTTCTTTTTTCAGTGGCGTAGAGAGGCTCCTGACAGATGCTGTGGAGAGATCAGGGAAATGAGAGGACAGTTTTGGTCATTTATGTAACAAGGTGAGAGCAGAGCTACTCCTCTCACAGACTGGAAATGTGGGATAGTCAGTGTGGGAGCGAAGTAACTGTCTGAGAGGAATGTTTATTCAAGAGAAAGAGATTGGGCTTTGTTCTCTTTGCACTTCCCCCATAAAACCAGCCAGTAACTAAAGAGCTGGGCAAGACTTCCTGCTACGATGGGCAGCAGCTGAGCTCTCCAAGCCTGGGTGGCTGAGGGTGATGGCAAGGACATTGCCAGGAACCATGTGCCTTCTTCCAGCTGACCTTAAGCGGAGCAAGGACAGTGTGGCTCCAGGCCAAGTGCCATCAAAAGGTGTGATGGTCACATTTGGACACATCTGGATTACAGAGTGAAGGATTTCTACATATGCAAAGACAACATTACTGTTTTTGTTTTGTTTTAAATTATCTGAGTAAATAATTCCTTTACATTAATTTTTTGGTAAGCCCCCAAATCTTCTCCACAGTTGTCCATCTTCAGAAACTAAAATATATTCAGAGTTGTACAGGTACCTTTAGCTGCTCTATCACCCCGTCCTTATTATATGGGACAGGCTTTGACTTGAAGAATTAACTTAAATTCATATCTGAGGTCATGGAATATTTCTTAGTTTTATCATGATGGCTGACACTAGACAGAAGGATTCTTGTGGGTAGACATGGTCTGGTCCATCTTTTATCCTCAGAACCTAAAACCTAGCATGACATTCCCCTAGATATGGTGACAAGAAAATGGCAGTGGGAGGGGAATGTAGAAGGGAGACCCATTTGGGGACAGAATTGCCCTGCTCAAAGGCGTTCGTAGAGTGGCACAAATCAGGAGCTTAAAATGTTAATTTGATGAACAAAACCAATCTCTCAGAGATGGTTCCACACTTCTACCAGAGGAGATGCCATTGATCTAAGGGCTTCAGCTTTTGTGTAAAGCAAGAGTATCCTGGATGGGGAGACACATGTGTCCCTCTTCTCCTGTGCTCCGGTGAGGCTGGGGTGGCAGGGACCGTCCTTCCTGTTTCTGAGACCATGGTCCATCTACCATTAGAGCCATGGCTGCAGCAACATCTATTCTGCTCTTTCTGCTGCTTCCTATTCTCTCATTTAAGCTTGTAAACTGCCTTTCAAACGGGAGCAGCCATGGGCCTGTATGTGCCTTCAGCTGTTTCTAATTCTCTCGCAGGCCCACTCCCTCCCAATAAATGACACCTAGTAGAAGGTGTTTTACAGCTCCACTTGTTAATAGCGCCAGATGGTTCTGTAACAAGACCTAACATAGCAGTCAAGGTTAAAACACAAAATCATATAATAGGAGTAAGATAAATAGAATTTCATATACAAAAGAAGAGGCTGAACCATTTAATTTTTAAAGTGCCTTCTAATTCTAAAATTCTAACCTATAAAACAACATTTCCTCAAAGTTGAAGGATATGTTGTTTTGTACTTGGGCCGTTGGAAATCCCCCCAGTTAGTAGCGTTAGCTCATCTTCATAGATTCTGCTATAAACAAGTGAATTAATGATAATGGGATAATTGAATCCACTCCTTTTCTCTGTCTCAGGGATTCAGGACTGAATGTCTATGGAACACTATAGGATTCCTCATTGTGTTTAAGTATATATATTTTTAATGTGATAGAGAACATGAGCAGGGGAGCAAAGGGAAGAGAGAGACAGAGAGACAGAAAGCTAGGGACTCCCAAGCAGGATCCACACTCAGTGTGGACCCCGATGCAGGGCTCGATCCCACAACCCTGGGATCATGACCTGAGCCAAAAATCAAGAGTTGGCCACCCAACTGACTGAACCACCTAGGCACCCCATTAGTTATTTTTTTCTTTTGCCAATCATTGTGTTTAGAAGATAATAATTGTCAACAAATAATTGCAGGCTGCACTATCAGATAAATTATTTTTCTTTAACCCTTCATAATTAATGATGAACATTTTCTTCCTTCTTTTGAGATGAGAAAAAATCTGAATGGATATCAAGGCCTCAGTTTAACTTGAAAATATGAAAAATTAACTTATCATCCTTTGCTACTTTGTGATTCATGTTGATTAATTGCCAACTAGTCGCTATTGAGCTAATCTATAAGCACAGAGAGATCTATTAATGAAGAAGTAACAAGCAAAATGGTAAAGTGCTGCTGAACAGATCTGTGTATACTGTCCACAGCCCTATTCAGGATGGGTGAGAGAGGAGGGTGTGGGAATAAGCAGTGTGTTCCAACCTTCTCGGTAATGACAAGAAGAAATACAAACTTCTAGGAGTTTGGCTCCTTTGGCAATTTCAGAGCCACCACCTGTAGTATTAGAAGACTCCCACTAGGTGGCACCATGTAATCAGTGTTCTTTTTCATCAGCAGAAGGAAGCCTGCCTGGCCTTCCTGCATCATAGAATAATTTATTGTTCTGTGTTTGTTAATTTGGACTCAGAGAAAAGTTTCAGCTCACTCCACACATCCATGGCCTTTTCTGTCTTCATTCTTTCCTGTTTTTTTTTCTTTGGTTCTTGGGAATCTGGGTCAAAACCTAGGGATAAGCATAGAGTTGATGGCTACCATGGTAGCGATAATCATGACAGACAACTTAGAGAGACACTGATAATGGCCTGTTATTGAAGGTTTATGATGTTTTTCAGATATTACTTCCAAGACTCAAGGCAACTCTGCAAGGTTGCCTTCACTTTATGAACAAAGAAACTAAGGTTCAGAGAACTGAATCAACTTTCCCAAGGATACCCAACAAGGAGGTAGAGAGGCACAGGACGAACCCAAGTTTATGTAGTTGCTAAGACGTTAATGGTCCTTGGGTCATTCACAGAAGTTGAATATTGGGTATAGTGAGAAAAAACAAGAGTTTAGCCTTTATGAAGTTCATGATCTAAAAGAGGATATAGAGTAAAAATAAAGGAAATAGAGCAAATTATTTGTAATACAAATGAAAAAAACATGTATATGTATATATATAAGACATTTATAAGACAATGAATTTATAAGGAATGTGAAATTGTTGGGTACATTTACTAGGTGTAGAGTCAGGAAGACATCCCAAAGTTGATTCTTTTCTTGGAGTAGAATTTTTCTGTGGGGACAGTTCTGAAGACATGAGTGATAAAGGCAGAATAAAGAGCAGATATTCTTGGGTTTACTTCTCAAACTCCTGAATCCTTATTATTGATGGTGAGTTCCTTTTTCTCACGACACTTGAATTTCCTCTATGTTCTTGGAGGTGTTGTCTCAACTAGCATTCCATACATAGATGAAGAAATCTAAGGAAAATGTTTTGAGGGTTAAGAAACCCAACTATTCCAGATTCTTTACCCTGTAGAGCCATAAAAATAGCAAGAGCCAGGAATCTCATAACACTAAACTAAATGAATGTTTATTTGCTAGGGGCTAGGCATCCCACCTGGTACCTTGCATGCACCACTGAACTTAATCTTAACCCAACTCCTTAAAATGAGCATTCAGTTAGTATTCCCTCAGAGTGTCGAGCTTCGGCAGGTTGTGTAACTCACCAGAGAGCACACAGCTAGAAGGTGATGAAGCCGGGATTTCATCCAAATTGGGAGATTAGAGAACCCAGCTTTTTACAATGCTTCCATTTAACATGCATGCTACAGGGCAGTGAGCAAATGCTCTGGCCATTGTAATACTAACTTAAGTTTGATTTGTAAGTTTCAAAGAACTTTCAAGGATGTTACTGTGTTTGAGGCTAGCAACAACCCAATGAGAAAGACAGTTTAGATTTTCTTACTTCTCCCTTCCCTTCCATTCCCCTTCCTGCTGATGGACACACATGCCTCCAACAGGGAATTGAGTGCCTTAAGTTAAGTCACAGAGTTACTAAGTGGTGGACACTGGACTTGAACCCAGAGGTCTCATCCTTAGCCCATTGCCTCTCTCATACAATAGCAGCACCCCTTTATATTAAATAATGTATTATTAGGTAACATTTCTGCCACTGGCACTCAGAATACATTATCTCTAAGAGTTCTGTTAAAAGTCAAGCAAGCTATTTAGGAAAAACTGTATGAATATCAATAATACATAAAGGCATATATTTTAAATTACTCCAAACTCCTTGCAAAGGAAAAAAATCTAAAATGATTTTCCAAATATTTTATATGAATGATTTTGGAGACATACGCATTGAATTATAGAACTATTTGGAGTCAACATCTGTGTTTTTTATGTGTTACAAATAGAGAGATCTGTACTTTATTAACACAAACAGAACATAGTAGAGTTTAAAAGTAAGAAAGCTATTCAGATATAGCCTATAATATTACAGTGAGTTTTTATATAGTCCCAATATTTCCAGTATTCTCTAAGCTGAAAAATTCTGTGAACTCAGTGAGGGAAGAGTGGTCCAAAGGAAAGGACCCTAGGGTAGTCATCAAGTGGGTACGGTGTCAGTAGTCACTATACCACTCTGGACCCCAGGCTCTTGTCTGTAACAGCAAGACCCTGGAGACCTCTAAGGTCCCTATACTTCTAAAGAATAGTTCTTAATCTGAATAATATCTTGAGATTTCTGTTATTCACCAGAAGATCTAGAACTTTTAAGAATGGTCCAAACTGAAAAGTAAATTGTGAATTTTCCATTACTCTTTTAAAATTATTTTTATTATTTATTCATTTTTATGGAGATTTTTTCTTTATTGAAAAACTTAAGACTTGGGCACATCAAATAAAACCATTTCTGGGGGAGAAAACTCAAAACCCACAATAGAACAAAAAAAGTTAACACTGTCTGGGCCATAGCAGAACCCAGAGGATATATTCTTTTAATTGAAAAATTCTAGGTGCTTCATAAAAATATGGAATGCTTCGTGGCTTTGCGTGTAATCCTTGCGCAGAGACGATGCTCATCTTCTTTGTATTGTTCCCATTTTAATATATGTGCTGCCGAAGCGAGCAGCCATTAATCTTTTTTACCGGTGAATTCACAAATGGTGAAAAAACATTTTGATGTGGAAAGCTCAGGTTCTAGTTTCAAAGCACCAACCTGGCTACTTCCATACTAAAACATGCAGGATGGATGTACAGTCTCAGGTCATTTGCCATCATTGGTAGAAAAAGTCAAATGCTGTGCAAAGAGAAAATGCTAGTGAACACAGATTCACTCCTCTGGTTGACAGCTCTTTTGACTCTGGCCCACAGAGAGGCCGTACTGGTTACTGATGATAGATGGCGCTCTTCACCAAAAGATCATCACCGCAACCTGACAGCGCGGGAGCGTTACCGCTTTATTCCTTCCTTTAATGGGCTGCAGATGTTCAGTATAAATGAATGTGGAATGTATGAATATCCAAATAGTGATTATTAAGGCATCGCATTCCTTTGGACGATAAACTTCGTTCAGCACTGAAAGAAGAAAAAGGGTAAAAATAAGAAGGGCGAGAGTGGGGGAGGGGAGAGAAATCTTAAAAAAAACTTCCAGTGTTTCGAGAAATGTTTGTATTCTCTCGTGGGCCACCCGTAAGCTAATTTGAAAATTTGGGTTGCAAATTAGTGTGCCAAAGAGGTAGGCTTAGGTTTGATTCTGCAGGTAGAAGGAATTGGGCTTTTAGGAACCCTAAGCCTCAGCGTTGAGCTTGTATGTACCCTCATGCATACAGTGCTTTAGAGACCAAATTCTCGGAGGCTTTCAAAGGTACAATTGTTATTCTTAGTTAAAAAAAAAAAAATACCTGAAGGATTGTAAATTGAAAGTAAAAACTTAGGATTTAATAAACTATGGTTCAAATTTAACACAGAACTCCCAGAAAATAAGGCACAAGGTCCAAATGGTCCCATGGTTTTAACTGATGATATCACAGGTTGCATCTTTTGATACCTTTCAAGTAGTGAATCTCTTTGTGGTCATGAAATAGAAGGCATCAAATTTTTCCTTGCATAGCCAAGTCGGCTGCCACTGGGTTAGCTTCCCAGGTGTGGTCAACTGTCTAGTTTATGTACCAGTATCCCCGTTTATACTTGAATTCCACCAAAGTTGGAGAACTCACTGTCTCATGACAACCCACCTTGGACAGTGCTTCTCATTCGATCATTCTACTTATATTAAAATAAATTTGCTTACCTGAAGTTCTTTTTTTTAATCCATCAATAAAATAATATGTCAAGAAGCATTTTGGAGTATCTGCTACATGTCCGGCTCTGTTAGGTCTTAGGAATAAAAAGATAAGAAAATTATATATAGTTTAGCGGATCTTGTGAGATTTATAATCCAATTTTTTCCATCCTAAGATTTCTAGGAAATAAGTCATACTCCTGTGGACAACAGTGGTACTCTATTGTAGGTACTTCAGCATCTCAGCAGAGAAAGGGACTGTAACCTGAAGGGGATCCTAAGTGACTCTATTTACCACCATACCCACTTGATGACTACCCTAGGGTCCTTTCCTTTAGACCACTCTTTCCTCACTGAGTTCACAGAATTTTTCAGATTAGAGAATACTGGAAATATTGGGACTATATAAAAACTCACTGTAATATTACAGGCTATATCTGAATAGCTTTCTTACCTTTAAACTCTACCACCACAGTCCTATTTAAGAATCATTGCTCTGATGCTTTCATATTCCTCTAGAAGTCCGATCTTACCCAACAGGATGTCAGATCAAATATCTGAAGGAAACTGTCATATTTCTTTCTTCCCTCCACAATCATTTCTTCCAGCTAAACATGCCACAGGATTCAAACTATGATGATTGTATTCTTGAAGAAAAGATGGCCTCAGAAAAAGCTGTTGAGAGCAGCTCTAAAGGCAGAAGAAATCTGCGAGAAATGCAACTGAATCCATCAGGCCAAATCAACAGCTGAGGAAAGAGAGAGGTGACGAGAAAGGAGAAGGCTGAGGTTTGTGTGATGCCCCGTAGATGTGGTCTTTCCACAAGAACATTGTCCACGTCACCAACCAAAAATGTGGGGAGCACAGATGTGGGGATGCTCTTAATTCCCCATCTTCTTGTCTTCTTTTGTTCTAAGAAGATTGTTTCCTTGATGGGGGTTAGAAACCAGGTAGAAGAAACCATATTCTGTACCATGGTGAAGTTAAGATTTAGAGACAAAAGATACAGAGCAGGGAAAGACTGGGGGGGGGGGTGGGGTTGGGGGGGGAGGAAGAAGAAGAAGAAGAAAAGACAAGCTAAGATAAAAATCATTCCCGCTTATATAGCTGGGATGTTTATAATGTAAAGAGACAGCTGCATTAAAGGATTAGGCCCCACTGCCTGATTAACATCATTTGATCTTTTGCTATTGAAAAGACCCTGTGTATTTTCAAAGGCAGTGGGTTTTTAAATAAAACCAGGAGTCTGGGTTAGCAGAAAGCTGTTAAAAAACAACTCACTTTTAGTTTAGTAATCTTTTTGTCCTACCTGCCTCATAATCTTCAGTTTCCTTCTTTGTGTTATTAAGGAGGCTGCACCTAAATCTGAAAATTGGGGCTCTAGGAAATTTGATATGACAAAAATAAACATGAAAAGTCATGATGACCTAAATTGGTCAAATCAGATTTTTCCCATGAATATCATCCTGGGGAGCTTCTTTTTTCTGTTTTGTTCTGAGTTTATTTTTTTATCCTTTACTCTCCATTGTCAACTATCACCACAAAATTTCAGTGAGAGAGATTAGCACATCATTATACCATGCCATTTTCATGGTTTACTTTCTATCTTGTTAATCTGCTTTCCTTCCTTCCTTCCTTCCTTCCTTCCTTCCTTCCTTCCTTCCTTCCTTCCTTCCTTCCTTCCTTCTTCTAAGTTAAAAGTGAGATCGGAACTCTTACTGTATTAAAGATTGATTGTGAGGAAGTTGAAATTTTCCATTAGCCAACTTTTGGGAGGAATCAGAGCATCTCTGCATCCATGCTGTCATCCCAGGGTGGCTGGGCAAAGAGGTGGGAGGGCCTCTGGTCATTTGAGAGGACCAAGCAGTCGTCATAACTAGTTCAGTCTCTGTGGCCCATTCAGCTCTTGGCATGGTTGCCAAGCCAGCCAACAAAGGAGCATTGTAATCCTGACAGTTTCCCAGCATTGACTGGACGGGCGCAGACCACCAACCAGCTCCCTTCACTTCTACTGTTCACAAGTGAGACCATGAATGGAAAAAAGTCAGTGGCAAAAATCCCACATCCTGCTGAAGTTAGTGTGTAGATGCTTTTCCAGCAAGTGATTCTGCCTCCAGGCTGGTAATGCTCATACCTGTTTCCTGTTTTCTTTTTTGTTTGTGTGTTTTTAAATACAGTTAGCTTACATGCTGATGCATAATCCTCACTGATGCCTACCAAAAAAATTAGGTTTGAGTTTTGATAAATGTGCATATGGCATGCAATAATATGGAAAATGGGAAGTGGAACAAAAATAAAATGTCATAAATGTAAAAAAAGATAAATTGAGATAAGCTTCCAAGTTAAGAAACTAGTGGTAGAAGCCACTGTGAATCTTAAGAAATTGAATTTGAAGAAATAAAAAGATGGTTTTCAGGTATAAAGTGGAATCATTTTAACTCAATTTTGAATTTTGAATACATGCCCAAAAGTCTGCCCTTTCTATAGACCAAGCCAAGGACATCTCCAATTCTGGTTTTAAAAATAGCAATAAATAAAATAAAAATTTTTAGGACAGCATAAATTCAAGAGACATTTATCATGTATTTATTACTGATTGAAAGTTAGGAACTATTTTTAACAATTAGATACAATGATATTTTAATATGTTTCAATGGTAAATGTGGCATAATTTTATCTATTTAAATTATCTTTTTAAAAATAAGTACAGATTACAGTAATGTGATGCCATATTTACATATCAGTTACCAAATACTCAAATGACAGTGTGCTCCATGCTGCTGGTAGAGGTGGAATGAGAATATGGTGTTTAAATTGGATTCGCAGTTTTAGACAAGAATTTAGCAGAATCTTAGTAGAAGTCTGTCCCTTTGACTCAGTTATCCTGCTTCTTAAAATATATTTATGTGTTTATATGTTATATGCATATGTGAGAAATATTATACCAAAACCAAAATAAGACAAATACAATATTATTCATCAAAGGGAAAATAAAAGCAAAAACAGGAAGAAACAAAGCCCTCAAACAAAATGAAAATAGAGTTACATTGTTAATCCTAATTAACATGATAGAATAGTATGTAGCTATTAAAAATTGATGTATACAGGGGCATCTGGGTGGCTCCCTTGGTTAAACGGGTAAGTGTTCAACTCTTGATTTTGGGTCAGGTCATGATCTCATGGTTCATGAAATTGACCCGTGCATGAGGGTCCATGCTGACAGCATGGAGTCTGGTTGGGATTCTCTCTCTCTTCTTTCTCTGCCTCTCTCCTGCTTGGGTACACTCTTTCTTTCTCTTTCTCTCTCTCTCCCTCTCTCTCAAATAAATACATTAAACTTTAAAACATAAAATTCGATGTACCCAAAGATTCTTAATAATATGGGAGAATGCCTATATAAATGTTAGGTAAAAAGAGAAGCTGTAATTGAGTGACTGGTAACGGTCTTAGCATACAAAAGTGCAATGAACACTAATGATCACTATCTTGCTGGTGGGATTATGGTTGATTTTTCAGTGTACATTTCCACATATTCAAAATTATTGACAAACAGCATATGCCATATTTCAGGAACATTAAAAAGTTTATTTTTAAGAAAAACTTTCTTCTATTGTAAAAAAGACTAATAAAGCCTCTAAATGTCCATCTGCTCTATTCTTAAGGGTTATTTTACTTAAACTTCAATACAAATGAATCGGTACCTTGACATGTTACCAGGAGGTCCTGCTGAGACAATGTTTGGTGCTGATTAGATTGACTTTCATTTCCTTTATTTTCTTCTTGAGCCACACCTAAAAAATATACAACAGTTAAGCAACATAACCTGGGGTTATTCTTCTCCTATTACC